CGTTTGCCAAGGAAGTTATTGCATAACCAGTAAGTTTTACCTTGATAGCTTCTTCAAACCAAAGGTCTGGACTTGGGTGCAAAATTTGTTTTTTTTTCATAGCTCCACCTATATGATTATGGTGGAATGTGATAGGAGACAGTACATAGACATCTGACCAGGTTAGGAACGGGTTTGATATTATTTTTTAAGAGAGAGGAAGAAATCCGCACTCGTATTGTGGCACCGACTGGGAAGGCTTCAACGAGGTTCGTGCGATTTCTTTTCACTGGGTTTGCTGTGCTGATGCAAAAGCTTTAGATAAAGTTAGAGATTCCCACGATCAAATATTAAAATCGAATGGTGCCATACACGTGAAAGAGGACAAAGCATTACTTTGCACATCAGTTGCCCCCTCGAGTCATTGTGAACTTATAGTTGGAGAAGTATGAGGAATGACCTCGAATTAATTCGTAGCGATCATGTGCTTTTTTGCTAGTGTTTTAGAAGTACATAAAAGAGAGGAGAACACCGATATGATGCCTGCGCACTTCGGCGAGATGGGAAGGGGGCGGGGAGAGAAGGGGCACTTTGCACTTCTGCTACTTTCCATTCACGTGTCGATGGCCTGATCTTTCGGCACGGAAAGATACAAGCAAAGTTTGCAGAGACCACCTGTCAACTCTTGTGAAAAACACCTGTCAAATCTCATGAAGCAGTGAAGTAGTGGTGGCTCGGCGAGCTCGCTTCAGCTTCGCAAGAGTTCACAGTAGGCTTGTACATCACAACTAGTGAAGCAGCGAAAGTGCAAAATGCCCCCTCTCCCGTCACCGAACTGCGTCATGACGCCCTATGTTGAGCTCAGTATTTTATTCTCTGCTGCAATTTGGAGGCCATTAGGGTTTGGTTAGACTTGACTTGAATGGATGTGCTTAAAGAGAGTCGCCGCACACGAGCAACTCGTAGGCGTCCTTGCTTGTGCAACTAGTGTGACCCTTAGTCTTCAAGATTATCCCACTTTTGCGGCTCCACAGTAAGTGGCGGAGGCGCTGTAGCCCTCCTAAGTGCATCTCTGGCGCCTCTGTGGTTGTTCCGCCCTCCCGAGGCGTTGTGTCACAAGTTCAGTTTCCCACTACGTTTTCCGTTTTTTTCCTCGTTGTTGGATGGTATTAGTATTGAATGAAGCTGAGAAACGATTATTGAGTCAGAAGCGGCAGGATATCGCTTTGCTGGCTACAACCAGCAGGTCCGTGGCTAAAAAAGCATGTCTGAGATGTCGCTTAGACTAGGCTGCCAGGTCTTAACTTCGCGTGTCTCATCGGCCTTTTCATTTGTTTTTTTTTCGTCTCTGGAAAGTCATTTTAACGACTACGTTTGTAATTAGCGTTTCCTATAATCAATATTGCCAAGGGGGGGGGGGGGGGGGGGGGGGGGGGGGGGGGGGGGGGGGGGGGGGGGGGGGGGGGGGGGGGGGGGGGGGGGGGGGGGGGGGGGGGGGGGGGGGGGGGGGGGGGGGGGGGGGGGGGGGGGGGGGGGGGGGGGGGGGGGGGGGGGGGGGGGGGGGGGCTTGTCTCTGAAGACAAGCTTCGCGAATGCATGTCGTGAATAATGGCGTTCAGTTAAAAACTTATTGTCGCTAAGACACTCTCCAGGAAGGAAAAAAACAAAAAAAAATCATGGAGAATACCCTAAATAAGGATCCCGTGGCAGCCTCACTGTACGAGTTCTTCAGACCTGGGCGTTTAATGCCAGAAAGGCTATTCTGTCTTCTCGGACCTCCTCTACGTTTCCTGGCATCATCTTATTCTAATACTGCCTAACAGTAAAGAAAACGAAAAGCGCGGTTTCAAAACCGTACTTGTGACAGAAAACAGCCTTCAACTTTTGGTGGGGGGGGCAACTAGGGAGGCGTCAAAACTGCCTCTAGAGAGGGCCGCAGCGCCTTCGTCATTTCACTGAAGCTGCGAAAGTAGCACAGTCTCGGAGACTGCAGCCACACTGGGGGGGGGGGGGCAACTAGGGAGGCGTCGACAAGGAAGGACCGCTTACGAATGGGTCAAGCCCGTGGACTATTTTAATTTCTGAGCTTCTTATGCTTAAATTTTCACTCGTTCGCTCTACACATTGTGTACACCGCAATTGCTCATAACTTAAATGACGGACTTAGAAAATTTATTAGTCATTTTATTTACTAACCTCGCTAGATAACCGCACTGCCTCAAATACCTTTATTTAGACCAAATGTATCAAAAATCTCAATGAAGAAGAGCATTGCGTCTGTAATCAGCCGATGTGCAATGCAGTGTTACCACCGGAACTAACCAGTAGGTTTAACGTGCCTCTGAGGGCTTGAATATTCCTTCAAACCTTATCTATGAGTACTTTAGTGCCGTCCATCAACAGTACTGTGTCATCATCAAATACCACAGAATCAGATACAAGCGGGAATGCCAGTAAGGAATTTTCCAGGAAAAATATTTTCGAGGTTGTCACTAATGTTTGAAAGCTTCAGCAGCTTCTCCAAAGAAGAAGTGCAAAAACAGCATAAAATTCTCGCCAAACGCTCAAGCGGTGTTCATGGGTCAAAAATTGACTGAGGCGATTCGTCAAGGTATTGGTTCGGCCAGCCTATCTGCACAGGTGCGTCTGCTCAGAAACGCTGAATCAATCACTTCTGAGTCATGTTCTCTTTTCTAGGAATTCTCCGAAGGCGTCGACACTCACATCTGTGAACCTTCGTAACCTCCGGTGTTCAGAGATACCGTTATTGACCAGCGTTCCTGTTAATAATAAATGCTTTCAATGCTTTTGTTTCCCATATAGAAGGCCGAAAGTGGCCAGCGATCATTGGACAAATCATAGCACTCGTAAATTGGCCTCCGATTTCGGTGAGGGTCATCACCATCCTCTCAGCGGAGACGCAGGCATTGCCATTGTTCGAACCACCCGGTTGGCCCCGATTTGCGTTCATCTCACCGGCACACCACATATTCATATCCACTCCAAAAGTCTTTTTCGGATCTTTTGTCCTCCAAATATTTCTGCTCTCGTTCATTGGCGTATATTAGGTGTTTCATACTTTTTCTCTGCAAACTATTGGTTACTCTTAAGCTACTTTTAGCCCTGAACCAAGTTTTTGTCTGCCGTATTTGTTCTTCATGAAAAATGTAGAGTATTGAAAGCTTGACGTAGTTCGGCTTGGTGGGGCATTTTGGCGTTTTCCCAGATACTTGAATCGCTTCTGATGTCTCCCATGGATACCGGTAAAGTCCTTTGAAACTAGGAGGAACTTTGTTTACCCTTCAGAAACTGAGTCTACCTGTCTCACCAATAGCCAACAGGTCTCACTAACTAAGATGAGACGTGTGACTTGATAGAAACTAGCCAAAAGAATTCGCCAAAGTGTAGAATTGCCCCTCGCAAGCCGGACGCCCAAACTTCGAAGCCTTCCGATGTTCACTCTATAATTTGTTTCTCTCGAGGAAAAAACAGAAAAGAAAAATCTGATTTCAGTTCACTAACCTACGGGGAACTTGCCATAAGAGTGTTCTCTATCACCTTCACACTTTTAAGTATTCCCGAAGATCCCAGAAACTTCCAACACTCGAATTAGCATGTCTACTAGCCACAGCGCGCCGCCAGGGTACGCCATCGCGTTGTGATCATTTCCTGAAAAATACGACCCCCCTTTACGACCCCCTTCCCTCCCCATGCTACCTACCACTTTGCCAGTTTTCCCCAACTTCCTACCACTTTTTCCATTTTTTCCCCGAAAAATTTCCAGTTTTTCAGCTGAGAATTTTCCGTCGAGTGGGGAGAGAGAGGGAGCGTTGCGGAGAGGGAAGGTCGTCAGGATTCAACAATCATTTTCAACTATCGGAATGTAGTTGTATAGATCTTTGGCAGTCCCGCTCTCAACAACGACCAAATACGACCCCCTCCTCTCCCTCGCGGTAGAATACGACTCCCCCCCCTTGCGATCATCACAACGATGGCGTGCCGTAACTGTCTTGAGAAGTTCTCTGACGTTGATTTTTCTAGATTAAAGCGCGCCGTAAATTTACTACTTCCATAAGGTTGTTGGAGATGTCTACCTCTCTCACTCTACTCTCACTTCCCCAGCAACTGCACGCTAAAGTTCGGTTGATAATATCGTAGGTCGAATCTGATCTATCGTGGGATTGAATCTTTAGGCTTTTTGGATACCGTGTGTGAAATGGGGTCGTACTGGGGGAGAAAAGCTTGCCCTGCTCCCAGCACTATGAGATTACAGTGGAACAAAAGCGCGGTATCTCTCCGCAATTCTCAAAACGATTATTCGTTCCGCAACGAGCGAAACATAACCATAAAAGCCACGATTCTCGACACAGATTTCTTTTGAAATTCCCATGGGACATTGCGGTTTTAAAGGGATTGAATCTTTAGGGCTTTTGGATACCGTAATGGTTGCTCAACACCTGAACAGGGAAAAAATACCAACAGCAGGTTCAAAAATATTTGAACAGAACTGTCTATGCAAGCATATACACCTCTGTCCATAAGAAAATTTACTATACAAACCACTATAGAGCGAACCAATCTGAGAGGTTCTCTCCATTATTATTACTGACTCTTCGCCATCTCACACACCTCTCGGTTAATGGATGCCCCTCACAGAAAAGAAAACTGGCTTGGTGAGCCAAAGAAAGTTAACACCCAGATTTGGAATGTTCCATACTTTTTTTATTTTTTTCACTTTTTCAAGCCAATGAGTGTTGCATGAACCGGGACAAATTGCGTTCAGATGGCACAGAATAAGAGCTCTTCACATCTACCTTTGCTGAACGAGCAGAGTGACTGAACAAAGCGTAGAAGAGCTCCAGTCGCATCACTAACCGATAATAATAGCGGCAACCAATTTTTTCGGTTCGCTCGGTCAGTGGATGAGGAAATGAGTGAGGGTCGCTCCCTTGTCACGCCTGAATAGTATGTATCACCAGTTTCCCCTCCTTCACGGACATAGCAGTCAACGGCTAAAGTTGAATGTGAACGATATTCGTTCTCAACGGTCACGCCTCCTCTAGGAAGTCCTTGAAGCCTTCGATGACATTCAGTGGCAATCAGGGCATCACCCTCAGAAAGGGAGGGTCGTATTTGGTCGCAGGAGCGAAGAGGGGCTCGTAGCATAGGACGAAGTCGGGGAGGCTCATATTTACCAGAAACTTCCTGCAGCGATCACGGGTAGACCTGGAGCGTGGGCGTATCAGCGATGTTTCTGATCGCTCATATTCTGAAGAAACGTTGTGCAGTAAAAACACTTTAAACAGGAAATTGACAAACACTAGTAAGCCAAAACTAATTTACGTTATGGAATACACATCAGTTAACGGAGTTACGAACGATTAAGTGATTCTGAAATTATAAGTCGTAACTGTATGTTTGTTTTCGAGGAACTTCGCAAAAAGGTGTAATACCGCCAGCAGAGCGAATGGCCTTAAGGCCAGTTTGACACGCGATAAATCGCTGCGTTACAGATGCTGAGGCGATTATATTACGACTGGCTTAACGGAATTCCGTGACCTCGGACAGGCGCTCCGTGGCGCCTTTTCCTAAGGAGGGTACCCCTATAACGCCTTATCGAGCAACAACATTCCGTACCAAACACCTTCCTCGTCCGCCCGCCCACAAACGGACGACCCGTTCCTGACGCTGCGTATTCATTCATGTGCCTGAGGCAAATTATTGAAGCAAAGGCGTGATGGCTATGAAGCGTCGGTGATGCTGCATGGATATTATTATGGATACACATATAGCGAGCCGTATCTTCCGGTAGCAGGTATAGGCAAGATAAATACGAATCTCGTAGCCGAAATCGCCATGTTTCGACTCACTGGGAACGCCGAGGCTCTTTCTTCGCCCGATTTTGACCCTTCACTTCCGTCCTTTCGCCATATTTTCCCGCTGACATAGCGCCCTAGCCTACTAGCATTCTAGGCATGACGGGAAACCATCGTGCCGAACTTGCCGATTGAAGGCACCTTCTCCGCGCAATAAACTAAGGCTATAACCTCCTTAAATGTGTCAGATGATTCGTAGGCGACTGCTAGAGGTTGCCAGATGCATTCAAAACTGGTGCAAAATGGCACAGGTAAACTTCTATTTTTAGACCCCAAGTAGGCCCATGCCGGGCCTACCTTGCTGCGTGTCGCTAGAATAGTGCCGTTATGCCGGCTCGACCTATTTCACGGTTCAATTTTTTTGCCTTCTCTCCCGCTGACTTGCAATTTATCGGTCACATTCTGCCCGTGATTCACCGTTGATGTTGACCAGACAGAGCTCTGCCCCCGATTTCATGATCAAGGCTGGCAAAGAAGGAGGGCCATACTGAGGGCGGCTTTTTATGCTTTTTTTCTTCACTACCAAGGCAACTAGCACAATGCAGTTCGGTTTTCGAACTCTGCTACCCAAGTTGTGCAGTCGCTGGAAGTGCCTTTAATTGAAATCAAAGGGAGTGAAGAAGTCACTTTGGAGAATATGGCTGCGTCCTCCCTCCCTCTCATTGCACAACGACAAGAACTCATAGCAGCACAGGATGACGAAACAAAAGGAGGAGCTTTACCTATGAGGTTAGTGCTGAGCATCTCCCTGTGAACTGTTTAATTTGTCAAGTATTTTACAGCGGTTTGGGTCGCCGAGAACCACGTTGTCACATCCTCGCACATTGTTTCCCATTCTTTACGTATTTGCAGCAGGGAGGCGGGCGTCATAATTGTGAATCATGGCGATTTATGGCTTCTTTTCGGAAACAATGAAATAGACAAACGTTTCGCAGCGTTGACTATTCTTCACATTTCTCTTTCGTTTTGCCAGCTATATTAGCTAAATGGAATGTTGTATTTATCGATACTACATCAAAAATTGGCGGAGGTGGTGTACTGGCAAGTACGCTAACCGCGTGCACGGTCCGACGATCAAGTCTTGGATCGGTTCCCGCCCAGGCAACCGATCCTTCCATCTCCCGGGGACGGCAAATTGGTACCAGATCCGTCTGGGAGGATAAAACACTGACTCCTACATCGTAGTGACTTATTGACTGTGCTGGGGCCTTTGTACAGGCCCCAGCACAGTCAATAAGTCACTACGATTCTCTATAAAAGTAACATGCGTGACACATTCCAAAAAGGGTTTGGCCAACGGTGAAGACTTCATCTGATCTCAGAAATTACCGTTTTTTTCCACAGAAAAAAGCTTTCCAAGAAAGCTTCACACGAGGAATTAAGATACAGTAGTGGAAAAAGTCTGGAACGGGCCAAAGTCGAGCGTTTTCAGCAATTTTGCCAGACTTTTTGATTCACACAAGAAAACTTTGCTAGCTCAAAGTATACTCGAAATCCCTGAGATCGGGTAGGCGTGGCTGCGTACTTGATTTTAAAATGGCGGCGGCCCAGGTTTTCGTGAGATATTGTCATTTTGGAGCAGTCGTAATCATGTCTACATCTAACACAGAACAAGATAGCAGTTGTTTCAAATCCAAGTATCCAAGTATCCCACGAGAAACCTGTCCTATGCCGTGCTCAAGAACCACGCCTTCCCCATCCCAGGGATAAGGAGTGTAAGTACGCCAAAAAAGGTATCTCAAAAATTTGGATGGAATAAATGAAGCCGATGTCGGGAAAGAACCTAAAGAACTACTGCGGTAGGCACGCCCCTAGCACCATGATATTGGATCCATTCCATATCGGAGGTTATAAAGTACTAAGGAT